CGTTGCACTTTTCGTCCCTAAATTATACTCACGTTGCTAATTTCGTCCCTAATATGTTGTTAATGAAGGGACAAAAAGTACAACATTAATGATAGCTTAATGATAAAAAGTGGACATAATCAATAATTAGGGATGAATTTAACAATTATCATGTAACTTAGAGATGAAAAGTACATTTTTTCTTAAAAGACAAAATGAACCTAAAAGTCAAAATTGCTTGCTAAATTTCGTTGCTGCCATCTTCTAAACATGTGGAGGGCGGCATTTTTCTAGAATGTATGACACGGTAAAATACCACGAGTTGGATTGTTATTTGTTAGAGCTACAGATTGAATTTGTAAATTATTAGATGCATTGTAAATTTCAACATACAGTACAGTACAACTGAAAATTACTAGCCCGTAGAAAAGTCGTGTACGCAGAGATTATAAATAACGTCCACAAATAACAAAGAATTATTGCAAAAAAAAAAAAAAAAAAAAAAATTGAAGATGGAAGCAGGTTCGATATACCTATTTGTTTGTGTTATTCTTGTCTTCCTAGCAGCTTTGAAACGTCTGTCAAGGAACACATATCACAACCTTCCTCCCACTCCATTTCCCAAACTTCCCATCTTAGGCCACCTTCACCTCATTAAACTACCACTACATCGGAGCCTCCACCAAATTTCTCTTAAATATGGCCCCATTTTTACCCTCCAGCTCGGCGTCCGCCGCGTTGTGGTGGTGTCATCACCGTCGGCCGTGGAGGAGTGCTTCACCAAGAACGACGTCGTTCTCGCCGACCGCCCTCGCTCCGTGGCAGGTAATTACCTGACCTACAACTATACTATCTTAACCAGCTCCAACTACGGCGATCACTGGCGCAACCTTCGCCGCATTTGCGCGCTGGAGATCTTCTCCACCAGTCGTCTCAACTCGTTTAAGTCCGTCCGGCAAGACGAACTCAAGATTCTGCTGCAGAAACTGGTTCAAACCTCGCGACATGCAGGGTTTGGGACAGTTGAGCTCAAATCTAAGTTTTCCGATCTGTCTTTTAACATCATATTGAGGATGACTTCTGGAAAACGGTACTTTGGTTTGGATGATGAAGACGACAAGGAGGCTATGGAGTTCAGGAAGCTTATAAAAGAGCCGTTTATGAGCGGAGGAGAGGTCTTGGATTCTCTGCCATTTTTAAGGTGGATAGGTTATTACAAGAATGTGGAGAAGAATATGAAGAAGCTGAGTGAAAGGTTGGAATCATTCTTGCAAGGACTGGTTGATGAACACCGCCATGACAAGAGCCGAAACTCCATGATTGATCATTTGCTGTCACTGCAAGAATCACAACCAGAATATTACACAGATCAAATCATCAAAGGGCTTATGATGGTAATGTATTTAACAAGCCAAAATCTCCTATTTGATAATCATATATATCAGACTGGAATTGACATCTATCAATTGATAATAAATGACAGGTGATGCTGCTAGGTGGAACAGATACCTCAGCAGTGGCAATGGAGTGGGGAATGGCCCTTTTGCTTAACCATCCAAGGGTGTTGGACAAAGCCAGAGCTGAGATTGATGATCTTGTGGGACAAGAACGCGCGATTGAAGAAGAAGATTTGCCTAAGCTGAAATACCTGCAGAATATTATTTTAGAGACATTGCGGCTGTTTCCATCTGCACCATTACTAGTACCCCACTGCTCATCTGATGACTGCAAGATTGGGGGATATGACATTCCACGTGGCACAATGTTGTTGGTGAATGCATGGGCCATTCACAGGGACCCCAAGCTGTGGGATGACCCCACAAGCTTCAAGCCTGAGAGGTTTGATGGTGGTAATGAGGTTGAGTCAACCAAGCTGTTACCTTTTGGAATGGGGAGGAGATCATGTCCAGCTTCTGGACTTGCTCAGAGAGTTATGGGATTGGCTTTGGGATCACTGATACAGTGTTTTGAGTGGCAGAGAGTTGGGGAAGAAGATGTTGATTTGACTCAAGGGAATGGATTCACTGCACCTAAAGCAGAGCCGCTTGTTGCCATGTGCAAAGCAAGAGGTTTTGCTCATAAAATTCTGTCACAAAACTCCTAGAAAATATTTCTATAGCACCAAACTGGTGTTTTTGGTTAAGGTGAAGACGTTTTCTTTTTTTTTTTTTAAAATAATTAGAATGTATTGTGAAATGTGATGAACACGATGAATGTTCGTAACAATAGTATTCAATAAATCAGAAGATAATACACGGTACTAGATAATATAGCCAAGAGATACATAACTAATAGGACTCTAACACATGAGTCATTAACCAACTAAATATATTATCTATTACTCCCCTCAAGCGGAAGGTGGGAGAGAAACCACATTGAGCTTGCTACGCAGGGACTCGAAACGCTTAGCAGAGAGCGGCTTTGTAAAAATATCAGCAACCTGATCCTGAGTAGACACGAAGTGAACATTGAACTCCCCAGAAGCAACCTTATCACGCACGAAGTGATAGTCAACTTCGACATGCTTCGTCCGTGCATGAAACACAGGATTCGCACACAAGTAAGTGGCCCCCAAGTTATCACACCACAGCGTGGGAGGCGATGAGAGAGAGAGACCAATCTCATTCAGCAACGACACAATCCAAGTGACTTCAGCAGCAACATCCGCGAGTCCCTTGTACTCGGCCTCAGTAGAAGAACGAGCAACAGTCCGCTGCTTCCGGCAAACCCAAGAAACCAGATTACATCCAAGATAGACTGCAAACCCACTAGTCGACTTACGATCAGCTGGATCACCAGCCCAATCCGAGTCAGAATAAGCGTGCAACACGGAGTGAGACGAAGGGCGAAGATATAAACCCAAAGAAAGTGTACCTTTCACATACCGAAGAACCCTCTTCAACATAACCCAATGTGCTGTAGTCGGTGAATGCATGTGTTGACAAAGATGATTCACCGCATATGAGAGATCCGGACGTGTGACGGTTAAGTACTGGAGGGCACCCGCCAAACTCCAATACTGCGTGGGATTTTCATACAGCTCATCAACCGAGGCAACCTTGCGAGACACGGATAAAGGAGTAACAAGCGGTTTACACTCCGCCATGCCAGCCCGAGACAGAATGTTAGTCATATACCGACGCTGAGACAAAAAGAAACCCCCATCTTCCAGAACCAACTCAATACCAAGAAAGAAATTAGGAGAGCCCAGATCACGAATCTTGAACGCCACAGCCAACCGTTGCAAAAGACGGCCAACTAAACTCGAGTCACTGCCCATCAGAATTATGTCGTCAACATAGACGAGTAGAAAAACCTGGGCACCTGCAACGGAATAGTAAAACAAAGACACATCGGTCTTGGAGGCTTTAAAACCAACAGAAAGAAGAAAATCGTGGAGCCGCTTGAACCACGCCCGCGGGGCCTGTTTCAATCCATAAAGTGACCGCTGCAAGTGACAAACATGATCAGGAAAAGAGGGATCCAGATACCCCGTCGGTTGCTTCATAAACACAGATTCATCCAAACGGCCGTTGAGAAAGGCGTTGTGCACATCAAGCTGACAAAGAGTCCACCCCCGCGACAAAGCCAACGAAAGCAACAACCGAACCGTCGTGGGCTTAACCACCGGACTGAATGTATCAAAAAAGTCCTCGCCAGCAACTTGATTAAAGCCCTTAGCGACTAAGCGCGCCTTATGCCGCTCAACCGAGCCATCCGCCTTGCGCTTAGTCCGGAAGACCCACTTACAACCAACAATATTCATGTCAGGGCGAGCGGGAACCAATTGCCACGTCTGATTAGCAAGAAGAGCATTAAACTCGGCATCCATCGCAGCACGCCATTCCGGGTGCTGCACCGCCTGTGAATAACAAGTGGGAGTCCCTGAGCTGGCCATCAACGCCTGAAGAGGCTCCGTGTGCTCCATATGCCGCAACAACATACCATGCGACCTCGGAGGCGGCGGTGGGCGAGGACCACGCTGAGGCCGAGATCGGACTACAACTGGCCTAGGCTCAGGAACAGGCAGCGGCATGATCTCAGAAGGCGGTGAAGCAGAGGAAGAAGATGAACACGCATCAGGCACGGAAAAAGCCACAGAGCCAACACCCCAAGGATCCGCCGGAATGGATGACGAGACTACCTGTACAGAAGACTTGGCAAAAGGAAAAGAGTGCTCATCAAACCGAACATGCCGGCAAACAAATATCTTACCCGTATCTAAAGCCATGCACCGATACCCACGAAACGAGGACGGATAGCCCAAAAAGACACACGGAGCCGACCGAAAGGCAAACTTGTGCCGATTATACGGCCGGAGATAAGGATAGCACAAGCACCCAAAGACTCGAAGATAGTCAAAGGATGGTGCGGAACGAAACAGTGTATAGTAAGGGCTATCCATATTAAGTACGGACGAAGGCAACCGATTGATCAAAAACACAGCGGACTCAAAAGCAAAGTCCCAATACTTGAGAGGAACAGAGCCCTGAGCCAGAAGAGCCAGACCAGTCTCAACGATATGCCTATGACGACGCTCAACTCGTCCATTCTGCTCGTGCGTATAGGCACAAGACTGACGATGAACAATACCAAGGGAAGCAAAGATAGACCCTAACTTGCGGTACTCACCGCCCAGGTCAGATTGCACAGATTTTATTTTACGAGAAAACAAACGCTCTACCATGACACGAAAAGTATCAAACACAGAATACAAATCAGACTTCAGACGCAAAGGAAAAAGCCAACAATAGCGTGAAAAGTCGTCCACGAAAAGCACAAAATACCGAAAACCAGAAACAGATAAAACCGGGGCAGGACCCCAAATGTCCGTATACACTAAGTCCAATACATTAGTACTCGAATAATTAACTCGGGGTAAGGGAAAACGGGACGACTTTCCTAATTGACACGACGAACATAAGGTAGAAGCATTAACATCATGCTTGCTAACCGAACAACCACGCAGCACTTTATTCAACACACGAAGATGGGGATGCCCCAGACGATTGTGCCATACGCTAGACGGTGCCCGAGCAGATAGAAACGTAGAGGGCGACACAGGAAGCCGCAAATTGTAGAGTCCCCCCAGAACTCGGTCCCTTAAGTAGAACGGTGTTGGTAGCGATGTCCTTAACCACAAAAAAAGAAGGAAAGAACTCAAAAAAGACGTTATTATCACGAGAGAATTTTTGAACGGAAAGTAACTTAGTAGAAAGACCAGGAACAACAAGAACATCAGACAACTTAAGGGGATTAGACATAGAAGAAGAAATAAGAGCATGACCGATACGGGTAATAGATAAACCTTCACCACTGCCGACGCGCAATGTATCCGAACCAGTGTAAGGTTCCGTATCCGTCAAGCCAGCATCGGACGGAGAAGTGTGATGCGTAGCTCCGGTGTCCGGAAACCATGCAGCAGCAGACCCGGACGATGCCAACTCACCACCATCCACCGTAGAAGCCACATTTACCTGCGGCTGATCCGAGTAACACCGAAAGCAGAACACGGCAGTATGCCCGTGACTGCGGAAAATCTGGCAGCGAGGGCCTCGACCACCACGTCCGCCACCACGGGCAGAACGGCCACCACCTCGCTGGCCTCCACGACCGCCGGACTGCCGGCCACCACCTCTGCGAGAAACCAATGCCGCCGGCTGGGAATCCAAAATCGGCGGAAAATCGTCGCTGCAGATGAACTGCTGCGCCACCAAAAAATTAGAGAGCTGGGAAATAGTAACCGGAGTACCTGAGGTTACAAGTGACGACGCCATCGCTCGGAATTCAGGCCGCAGACCTCTGAAGACGTACAAGTTCTGCTCGTCCAAGGTCACCGGCCGGCCGGCCATGGCTAGCTCTTCAATAATGACTTTCGCACGGCCCAGGAACTCCGCAGGCGTGCTATCACCCTGGCGCAAGCCTTGCAGCTGACTGAGGAGACCAAGCGCCCGAGCCCTCGTCGACGAACCAAACGCACCTTCGATCGACAACCAGACCTGGCGCGACGTAGCCTGGCCAACTGCGAGATACATGACCTCCTCGGACAACGACGCAACGAGCATGGACAAAATTGCTTGGTCCTGCTGCTCCCAGACGAGAACCGCCGTGCGATCCACCGGAGCAGCAGCATCACCCGCCGTGACCGCAACCGGCAGTGGGCATGGAAAAGAGCCGTCGACAAACCGGAGAAGACCCTGGCCGCGAAGAAACGGCACCATCTGAGTGCGCCAAAAAAGGTAATTGCGAGTGGAAAGCTTGATGGAGACGAAGTGGTGCGCCGATGAAAGAGTGGGAGGAGCCACCGTTGGAGAACCAGAAGGATCGGCAGACACCGTGCGTTCAGAAGAGGCTTCGAAAGTAGTGGGAATAATGGACGCCATTAGGACCGCAACAGAGCGACTGATACCAGATGAATGTTCGTAACAATAGTATTCAATAAATCAGAAGATAATACACGGTACTAGATAATATAGCCAAGAGATACATAACTAATAGGACTCTAACACATGAGTCATTAACCAACTAAATATATTATCTATTAAACACATACTATATATACACTTAGGCATGTGTTTATTATTCATTGTTAGGCCCAGTAAAGGTGAAATTTGCCACAAGTACGTATTTATTGTTAGGATATTTTAATTTTTATGCATTTACTGCTAAATTAAATTTGTCACAAGTACATATTTGTTGATAGGATATTTTAATTTTTATTCATTTACTGTTAAATTATATTGAATATTCATGGTTGATAAATTTGATAGCCAAATATTTATTTGGGATGTTTTATGCTTTAAATGCTATTTATGATATAGGCAAACAAATTCAAATCAAAGGTAAAATAAAAGTGTGCAGCATTGCATTATTTTTTTGGGGGAAAATTACACTTTTTCCTCCAGAGTTATATACTTATAGCACTTTTTCCTCCTCAATTATTTAGGTAAGCATATTAGTCCCCTCAATTATTCTAAAAGTGGTGGTTTTTCTCCCTAATATATTAAATTGACATTTATACCCTTAAAGTAAACATTTTATTTATTTTACTTCTCCAACAAATTATTGTGTATAGGTAGAGATGACACGGTTCGGTTCAAACTGAATCGGACACTAAATCAATCGAATTAAAAGTTTCCGATTATGATTCAGATCTAGAACCCAACATTTGGATTTCAATTTATTAAAATTATGAATCAAAAAAATTGGATCCTAAACCGTGAACCGGAGATTTCGAATCCGGTTCGCGATTTTGAACCGTCTTTATTTTAAGATTTTATTTTTTATTTTAAAATAGTCTAAATTTAGCAATAAATGTATTTTATTTTTCAGTTCGGAACATGAACCGTTCGTTTCGGTTCGCGATTTTAATAAACTCTAAATATCGGGTTTCGATTCTAAATTGTAATTGAAATATTTCAGTTTGGTTGGTATAATGTTTGTTTGGTTTGAACCAAATTATGGTTTGGAGAAGAAAAATAAATAAAATATTTATTTTAAGGGTAAATATGTCCATTTAACATTTCAGTGGGAAAAACAGCCACTTCAATAATTCAGGGAGAAAAAGTGTTATATATATATAACTCAGGGGGAAAAAGTGCTATTTTCCTTTTTTTTTTTTAATATCAAAATGGAGGGTATACCCAACAGGAGCAACATTACAAGTTGTTAACTGGTTTGTGAACATAACGCCAAAGAGGGATCCCAGAGAGGTCATCTTCTAAGGGCCTCTTAACCTGATCGGTGGCTCAGAGAAACCGTGAAAACCAGCTGGATAGTTATTAGCCAAGGACGCCAGGCTATCCGCAACCCTGTTCTGTTCACGAAGCACGGCGTTCAACTGCCAAACTTCGAATCTTCGGAGTTCCTTTTGGCAAGCTTCCAGGATATTGTGGGCTGTGATGCATGGGGGCTTTGAGTTTGTTATATATGTGACCACCTCTTCCGAGTCGGATTCAAATATAGCCTTAGTAAATCCCATGTCTATGGTGAGTTGTATGCCCTTCAGAAGTGCCCACGCTTCAGCTTCAAAAGGCGAGTAATTACCAATAGAGAAAGTAAAGCCATAGCACCAATCTCCTGTGTGGTTCCTGACAGCACCGCCGTAGCTAGCTCCGTTGTTTATTGATGCTGAGCTGTCCACATTGACTTTCACGAAATCCTCTGGTGGTTTAGACCAGCATAATAGCCTCCAGTTCGACGTATTAGACGAGGCCGGAGAGCCGTTTGCTCTTACGAACGCCTTGCTGAATTCTTCAACTTGCGCCCTAATCCAAGCCACTTTGAACTGTAACGGCTTGGATGAACCTTCAAAAACTAGTTCGTTCCTCCATTTCCACACCCACCAAATCGTTGTGGCAAACATGGAGCTCATTTTGTAGGGTGTGCGACCACTGCCAATTTCCGATATTCCCTTCTCAAGCCAGTTTGAAAAAGGACAGTTTGTCCAACTGTCATGGTGGGTTGCCATCACCCCTCGCCAGACTTCATCAGCAGCTGGGCATAGACGCAGAACATGTTCAGTGTCTTCAACCATGTCAACACACAGAGGGCACTTATCATTCTCGGATATCCCCCGTTTGAACTTGTTCCTATTCGTCATAATTTTGTCATGATGGGCAAGCCATAAGAACGTGCATATGCGATTGGGCACCTTCAACCTCCAAATGCTGTTCCACTTGGCAGCTTCCACAGGCTCGGTTGCTCTGGTGACTAAGTCATAAGCCGAGGATACAGAGAACCCCCCGATTTCTCGTTTTTCCATCCAACAACATCCATCCTTTCTGGATCTTCAATGATCATAGTCGCAACAAGTCTATTCATAATTCCAAATGGAAGTTTCTGGTCAAGTTGATTCCAGAGCCAGCCATGATCAGTATCCCAGTAGCTCACAACCGTTCTAGTCTGGTCTTCCTCTGCAATTAAACTCAACGCAGACTCAATGAGAGGATTATCATCCAAACAGGGATCAAGCCAAAATAAAGTGTGTTCCCCATTCCTCACATGCTTCCTAACTCCTTTACGCAGAATGAAAATTGTTTTAAGCATTCCTCTCCATGCGTTGGACATATTGCTTTTGGGTTTCCAAGAGGAACAATCTGCAGTGTTAATATTTAAAATTATGTCGTGAACCTTAAATTAGCTGAACCTGAACTTCTACTTGATTTTTAAACTTATATTAGATTTTGATCGATTAATTTTTGTTATTTAAAGATAGTAAATAACAGAAAATAAAAGCAGTAAGTAAATCAAGTACACAAAGATTTGTTACGCAGTTCGGAGCGCTTCTCCTACGTCTGCGGGGCAACCCACGTCAGCCCAATCCACTATTGATGTTCACCAAGGAGTTTTACAATAGAACGGTACATTAAACTCTCACAGTCTTAACTACCATACTACAAACAACCTTCCTAACATCCAACCTGGACTGTGATGTGCATGCCTTGATAACCTTCGAACAATACTTCAACTGAGTCAGGCGCAGACAGTAGCTCAGCAGAATAATAATATAATTAATTCTCAATTCGTTAGCTGTGTTCACTTCTCAGAATAGTAACTCTCAAAAATGGCAAGTTTCCACAACTAGTAACCTTCCTATTTATAGCAATATCCCTTCCATCAGACTTGCCTCATTTCATGCTTGATTCATTCTCTGCCATTCATTTCATTTAGATTCCCATAATATGCTTGAACCATACATTCATAGCTGACTTCCTCTTCATAGACATTAATTGTGAACCACCCAAAAAAGTCTCTTATGAAGAATAACAATGGTCCAAGAGTTTTTGTTTAAACCTAAGACTATGACTTATAAAAATAAATTAGCCAATCATAGGTTTAATGTGTACAAAATATGTACACTTATAATCTCCCCCTTTGGCAAATTATTTGGCAAAAACTATAGCATCTTATACTTTGGGCAAACAAGAAAGATACAATAATTTTATTAAAAAGCCCTTAGTATATGTGCCATACAATAACCTAAGGTAAGAAAAAAATTATTACCAAAAAACTCTTGTAGACCATGTTCCATGAACTCATAGTATTAATTTTCAGAGAATATGTGTGCTGTATATGAACCCCGAAAACTTCAATATTCAGATAGAATAGTTGATCACCAATAGAAAGATTAAATAAAAGATGATCATCCAATAACAATAGATTTACTGTTTAGATAATGATAACCAATAACTGATAATAATAGCCATAATCTGAAGAGATATATAAGTCAGAGATTACCAAGAGAAGTGTAGCATAATAGAGTAGTAGACAAGCCATACTAAAAAAAATTCCTTATGTCGCAGTCATCATGCTTTCCTACTACTCCCCCTTTCTTGTATCTTCCCTTATTTCATATTCCAAAATAGTTAACCAAGTAAAACTCCCATTTCTCATAAAACTCCCCCTTTCTTCAAAAGCTCCTTTCTATTACTCCCCCTTTTTTGCCAAATAAGTGACAAAAAGGATCGGTGAACATCAAATCAGTGGATTAGACTAGTGAGTTGACGGGGTGCCCGACCTTCTTTCACGTAAAATAGCAAGAAGCTTATCCAACATTCATCCATATTGATCAATAGTAATTACCATATACCAAGAAGGTAGTGTTGTCATATTCATTCCATGTTCGCAATAGTAGAAAAATCATTCAGATATTCTTTATAAAAAGCTATCACACCACCAATAACACGAGAGTCTGAATAACATGATAATCCAAAGGATATGATAACCCAAATAATATGGTAACCTGGATAATCTAATAATCCGAAGATTTTTAACCAAAAAGATAATCCGATATCCAATAATATCCACTAAGGGTCCGTTTGGAAAGCTGGAAAATGACTTCTGGAAAATGACTCATTTTCCAGAAGTCATTTTCCTTTCCTGTGTTTGGCTGAACAATGGAAAACTGTCTTTTGGTGTTTGGTTCATTTTCCAGAAAATGATGGAAAACTGTCTTTTGGTGTTTGGTTCATTTTCCAGAAAATGAACAGAATGGAATTGTTATTCGATAAATATATTTTTATTGTTTTTTGTATAATATAACAATTTTCATTTCAAATTCCATGCTACATAAATTTTAGTTGTATTTAATTCGAATGTCTTTGCTCTCAATCTATCTTTCTAGTATTAAAACTATTGTCATAATATGACAATTTCAAACCATAATTACATGTTAGAAACAACATAAAGGAATCAACAAAATCAAGTATTGAAAATTAAAATCCACAAAGTCTTAGGATCCAATATAATCAAGTATTAAAGATCCAACATAACCAACCAACTAAAAAGCATACATAAAAATAAGTCTTAAATATTACAATCCAAGTCTTAACATCCATGTTAACCAACAAAAAAAGGCATAGAAAATTTAATCCGAAGAAGAAATAAATTTCTCAATCCATTTCCTCTTCAAACTTGCATTCTTCGCGTTGAAAATCCTCGCCTGAACCTCATTTGTCATCAAGTATTCAAATGCCTTACATAGGTCATCCTCATGAAAGCCATCACCTATGCTCATCACATCCGCAAACAACTGATTTTCATCAATGCTAGTATTCAAAGATTTAATTGCTGCGGCAATGCTACCAAGTTGTTCAGCAATTTCATCGACCTTCAAGTCAAGTGACTTTCGCTTACGAAAGGATCTTTGAGACAACGCAGTTGATGCAGATGTTCTTCCCTTACTTTCTTCATCATTTCCTTCAGGCAGGGTTTCATCATTGTTATCCGGCAACATCTCATCATGAGGGCCATCTAAAGTAACATCTGCAAAAGATTTTGCAAAACGTCCTATGGCACAATCTCTGCCAGCGACAATGCACATCTCATCGTAGTAGTCAATCTTCCTGTTCAACAATGTTTCATACTTGGGAGTTGCCTATAAATAAATAATAAACATGAGATATTTTCTAATAAAAAAACATTAGATTTATGCAATAGTCAAATTATGATAATAAAATATTACCGTGATAAGCTCAATATACGGGGCTTCATCACATGTAATCATTTTCAAGTTATCATCCCATCCAAGACCACTCATCCCCTTCAGCTTGCATATCATCATCCATGTGTTCTTCACTGTTTTCAAGTGATTCTCAACATGTTTGACTTCACATGCAACATTAAATTGTTCAGATATGGTAGATGCAACACGATTGAATGAAGATGTTCTAAAATTGTTAGTTGGATTATTGGGATTCCTAGCCTCTTCAGCTAATATCTTTAAAAATACGCCCTCCATTGGCTTTGTCCACCGAAATTGTCTAGAAGTGGCAATTCCCTTTCCCTTATTCATGTTTCTATAATAACATAAAAACAATAACAACCAACGTCAACCAATGAAACATAATATCCATTAACAAAGCATACTCATGTCCATATAATAATATCCAATAACAAAGCATAATCAAGTACACAACAATAAGAAATGTTCAACAACGTAACTAATAATATCCAATAACAAAGCATACTCAAATATATGAAACTAGACACTAGTTCCTAATAAGAAATTCATTCCACATTTGTTCTGCGATCTCATCTCTCTTTGCATTCCATTGTCTAACTTCTTGTCTTTCTTCTGTTTGCGTATGAGATAAGGGCAACAAGTTATCGTCATCAACATCAACTGTTGCTTGATTAAGCTCATCATTAGGATCAACTCCCATAATATGGTTATGAATTATACAACAAGCTAAAACTATATCCACTTGTGTCTGGTAATCCCAAAAAGGTTCAGCATCTAACACATGGAACCGTTTCTTCAAAATTCCAAACACTCTCTCAATAGATGTACGTAAGGACGAATGACGATGATTGAAAAGTTCTTTCTTATTCTCAGGACGATGAGCAGTAACCTCTTTCAAATGGTATCTAACACCACGGTATGGAGTAAGTATTCCATTCCGTATGCCATATCCAGCATCACCAAGATAATATTTCCCTACAAAAAAGTTTACATAATTTGATTACTTATATGCAATAACAAACAACACAATGTAAAAAGTGATTACATAATTTTATTTTATACCTTCTGGAATTTTAAATTTATTTGGACGTGTGAGTGCATCGTTCAAGACTCGAGAATCATGTGCACTACCTTCCCACCCAGCTAGCACATAACAAAATCGCAAATCAAAAGTGACGGCAGCAAATACATTTTGTGTTGTTCCACCCTTACGTCCGCGAAAACTTCCTTGCATATTAATTGGCACGGATGCACGAATATGGGTTCCATCTATTGCTCCTAAACAATCTTTGAAATAGGGATAAAATCGCGGATTGCTAATGATTTCATGAGGAGTTACTTCACCGTCCAGTAATACTATGAGGTTCGTATACAAAGATAAAATGGCTCTCAAAACACTTCTAAAGTAACGGTGAATTGTCTCAATTGACCTATAATACCTTGATCAAATTACTCGAAAGCGTACATTGTGACCTATTATATGTAAAAATATTAAAACTTGTTCCTTAATACTTACGGCTCTAGTTGTGCGTAATAAGTTCTTAGTAGCAAGAAGGTCACACAATTTATAAAAGGAAATAGGTCGCATTCTAATAACGCTAATGCATTTGTTATCACCCTCACACAAGATACTATTTATGTAACTCTCTCGCTCATTATCTCTATTGACAATGTCATGTTCTATTTGGTTTCTATTCCTAAGTTGTTGTAATAGAAGAACTCCCATAGCTAGTATAGCACTTGCTGCACCCATAACAGTTGCACGCACATGATTTCTATCCATCTATACACAAAAAAAATGATAACAAATAACCACAATTAAAACTAACACATAGGTCATAACCACACAATAATTAGTGATCAAAATCAATAAACCAAATAAGCAGCAACCAAAGTATATTATAAGCAGCAACCAATATACAAGTTCTTCAAGATCATGTATAATCAAATATACTGTATGTGTTCAATGAAACCATCCATCTCAAAGTTAGAATAGCTATGTTTAAGATCATGTATAATCAAATCAAATCTACTGGCAATCAAATCTACTGGCATCAAATCTACTGGTATAGCAATCAAAGCATACAAGTTTTGAGTTTTTTTTTTTTCTTCACTGGTTTCCCCGCCGGAAACCCACTGGTTTCCGGCGGGGAAACCAGCGAGCTCACTGGTTTCCGCATCGGAAACCAGAGGCACTGGTTTCCCCGCCGGAAATCAGTGGGTTTCCGGCGGGGAAACCAGTGAAGGAAAAAAAAAAAAAACTCATAGATCTGTAAAATCCATAGAAAAAAAAAATTCAGGGTGTGTAGAGATGAGATATACCTCAATAGCTTTTCTAGTGTTGTTGAAGCTTTTGTGATTATGGATTGATGGAGGAGGAAGTGTTGGTGAGTTGTATTGCAAATGTTGAAGAGGAGGCAGAGCTCTGTTGAAAATGGGAAGAAAAGAAGTCTGCGTGAATGGAAGGAAAATGACTTCCCCCAAAAAAAAGGGGAAGTCATTTTCCAGAAAATTGCCTTCCTTTTCCATTGACTTCTCCTCATTTTCCTTTGACCAGTCATTTTCCAATGTAGCCAAACACCAAAAACCTGGAAAATGACTTCCAGAAGTCATTTTCCGGGTTTCCAAACACACCCTAAAGCCAATAAGAGAAACCATATAAAGAGAAACCAATAACTAATACCAGATAACTTTTGCTTGACGATGAAATAGAGAGAACAGCTCCATAATAGTTCCTTTTTGCTTTTTACTAAATCTTTTGCCACATGAACCTGCACAAGTGAAAATAGAAAAGAGAAACACAGAGCAGGGTACATGCAATCTTGAAAACGACTTAGCAAATAACAAAGAAGCACAAGAATTCAAGAAATTTTCAATTTTGGTCAAACAAGACAAGAAGATGATTCAGGCACAGAATCACAACAGATAGCATGAAAAACACACAACCAAACAAAAACACACACGGTCATGACCGGACCAAACAAATAACACAGAGAAATAAACACATTAATCAAATTGCACCAAATTTATCATTCAAGCAAACATATTTTAACACCGGAAACACCAACAAAAAGGCATAATCAAAGAATTGTAAAAAACAACCAACACAACGTAGATATGACATTTAGTGAACACACAGAAACAACCAATAACAAAACATAAAGAATAACCCAAGCAAATTAAACGAACACTTTAAAATAAATGAGCAAGTAAAGAGAAAGAATCTGAAAGATTAAAAGTACCTGATGATTTAATGAATCCAGAGATACACGTATATATATATAAACTAGAAAGGATAATTCATGATCAAAAGGATATATGCACAATAATATCAAAACAAACATCATCTTTAGGGAATTCAAGATAAAGATAAGGTGGATAGATAAGAAACTAATAAGACCTGAACACTTGACTTTTAAAACGTGAATTCAAGATAGTTTTTATGGCTGCTTAGCCTTAAGACTTAATCTGCACACGAGAGAAAAAAATATTAGTAACACTAAGTAATATTTATTTGTGAATTAGTATACCTGAAATTTTATTAACACGGGCAAAAAGAAATTTAATTAGCTGGATTGCTGACGCCCTAATTTTTTATGCCACAACTCAGACTCATTTATGCTGGACCTGCAACAGAGGATATCATTTGTTAGAATATAGCAGCTGTCTCTTGATCGCTTACCTTCCATAACACATTGTTTTTCATTATCCATAACACTGCAGTTGTCTTTGGTGAAGCTAACATTCCAGTTTTGGTCGCAAAGTTGGCTAATGCTTATGAGGTTGGCATGGAGTCCGTTTACCAGTAGCACCTTTTTCAACTTCGGTAGACCTGCAACATTTAGAGTACCTACTCCGGTTACTTGTCCTTTGACTCCATCACCAAAAGTTACTTCACCGTTGCTTGTGTTTATGTCACTTAGAAATTTTGCGTTTCCAGTCATGTGATGTGAGCAACCGCTGTCGAAGTACCATTTTTCATCCCTACCTGCATTTTTAGTGTGAAAGGATACAAAACTGATATAATCGGATTTCTTTACCCATACTTGTTTGATAAATGGAGTAATGTACTTATGGCTATGTTTTTCGGCCCTTTGTTCTTTGTAGAAGTAATAACACTCAGGTCTGATGTGTCCTCGTACCCTGCAATAGTGACACACTGGATTATATACCTTATAGTTAAACTTGTTACGTACTGTACCTCGTGTTCGCCATGCTGAGCTAGTGGCAGGCGCTGATTCACGATATTGTTTAGCTGTGCTTGACTCAGGAGTATCTTCTGGACGTGGATCAGATGTCTTGACAAAAGTAGTTTTATCTCTGTTGGTTCCTCCAGTAAAGCCAATACCAAACCTTGCACATGATTGCCGTCCAGAACCAAGAATTTCATCAAGAGTTGAAGTGGTATCCATCATTTGGATTTTCTTTTTGTAAGTACTCAGTTCCAGCTTCAGTTCCTTGACTTCCTGTTTCAGTTTGTCTTCTCGGTCAGTGTATTCTTTAATTAACGCGTCCCTATCTGCTACTTGACCTTTGAACACGTTTACAGCATTTTGCAATACTCTAACTTCACTAGACACTATACGATTTGCTTTAAGTAATGCTTCCCACTTGGGATACAACTTGTTAAACTCTACTTCATAAGATAAATCTAGTATTTCATGGTCTTCCGTCGAGTTGTATTCACCACCCTCCGTGTCAGATGCATCTCCAGGTTCTGAACATGTCGCAACTCTAGTAGTAAAAGCTACAAAATTACCGAACATTTCTTCTGCGCCAGAGCCAGCAGCTTCTGATTCAGGTTCGTCATCACTCCAAGTTGTGGCTGTCATGGACTTCTTTCGCCTAAGATAAGTTGGACATTCAGCTTGAACATGACCAAAGCCCTCACACTCGTAACATTTTATTCCTTTGTTGTTTGATTTTTCCCTGGAGCGGGTTGGACGTAAGGCAGCAGGTTTTGAGTTTGGCATGCTAGTTTTTGTATCAGTTTTCGACATGTTTGAGCTTGCTCCTTTTTGAAATTTTTTGTTTTGTGAATTCTTCTGAGATATCTGTTTCAAAAAATTAGAAAATTGTTTAGTTAAAAATGTAACTGGATCATCACCTGATTCGTCTGGGTTAGCGGTATCATCATGTTCTTCAGCGACAAATGCAATTGTCTTTTGTTTTTTGGTGTGATCAGTAAGAATTTCCATTTCATAGGTTCGAAGATTGCCCATTAGTTGAGCCACTGATTTGTTCTCCCAGCCATCATGTTCTTGAATAGCGGTTACCTTCATCCTGAATCTCGGAGGTAAAGATCTTAGGATTTTTTTGACAAGTTTTTGTTGGGAGAAAGGTTTTCCAAGAATTGTTGCTCGATTAGCTAACTCTTGTATGCGTTCGTGAAAACTCGCAATATCTTCGTCATCGTTCATACGTAGTTCTTCAAATTCAGTCTTTACCAGCTGAAGCTTTGACTGTTTGACTGAACACGTACCTTCATAGGTGGTTTCGAGTATTTCCCACGCAATTTTTGCACAATCAATACCTGTAACCAACGAAAATTGATTTTCATGCATTAAGGAATAGATTGTGTCAAGAGCCTTATCGTTATATCCAGCAGTGGTAATTTCAACTTGAGTTCTCTCGGTTTCAGGTTTTATCACTGGTGGATCACCGTCTTTTTCTCCAGATTTTGTAGGTGGTGTCCAACCAGTCAGTACCGCCCGCCAAATCTGATCTCCTTGGGCTTTAAGGTGAGTTCTTGTTCGAGCCTTCCAGTATGCGTAGTTGTCACCTGTAAGCTGGGGAAGTGGCCTGAACCTTTCCATTCTGAAACACTTAGCAACAAGTGAGATTGAACAAAGTAATAACAAGAAGAACAGTATTAAAAACCGCAGAACACTAAAAAATAAGGCACACGTAAAAGCCAGATCAAAAGACTAGTAACTTAAGCCTCCAGGCTCTGATACCAATTAAAATTATGTCGTTAATCTTAAATTAGCTGAACCTGAACTTCTACTTGATTTTTAAACTTATATTAGATTTTGATCGATTAATTTTTGTTATTTAAAGATAGTAAATAACAGAAAATAAAAGCAGTAAGTAAATCAAGTACACAAAGATTTGTTACGCAGTTCGGAGCGCTTCTCCTACGTCTGCGGGGCAACCCACGTCAGCCCAATCCACTATTGATGTTCACCAATGAGTTTTACAATAGAACGGTACATTAAAATCTCACAGTCTTAACTACCATACTACAAACAACCTTCCTAACATCCAACCTGGACCGTGACGTGCATGCCTTGATAACCTTCGAACAATACTTCAACTGAGTCAGGCGCAGACAGTAGCTCAGCAGAATAATAATATAATTAATTCTCAATTCGTTAGCTGTGTTCACTTCTCAGAATAGTAACTCTTAAAAATGGCAAGTTTCCACAACTAGTAACCTTCCTATTTATAGCAATATCCCTTCCATCAGACTTGCCTCATTTCATGCTTGATTCATTCTCTGCCATTCATTTCATTTAGATTCCCATAATATGCTTGAACCATACATTCATAGCTGACTTCCTCTTCATAGACATTAATTGTGAACCACCCAAAAAAGTCTCTTATGAAGAATAACAATGGTCCAAGAGTTTTTGTTTAAACCTAAGACTATGACTTATAAAAATAAATTAGCCAATCATAGGTTTAATGTGTACAAAATATGTACACTTACAATATTGTACTTGGCATTTACTGCTAAATTATATTGAATATTTACGGTTGATAAATTTGATAGCCAAATATTTATTTTGGATGTTTTATGCTTTGAATGCTATTTATGATATAGGCAAACAAATTCAAATCAAAGGTAAAATAAAAGTGTGCAGCATAGCATTATATCTCACCCAAAATGACTTCTACTCTTAATTTGATCATATATAGATTGAGAGGAAATTTCAATTTTGATCATATGACTATAGGTGTCTTGTTAATTTCAGTCTCTGACTTTCAAAAGTGTCAATTTAGTACCTTAACTATGTAACTTTTGTCAATTTTAGTCACTCTGGCCAAATTGCCGGTCAAATTTCGCCGAAAAATTTTAATAGTTAAAATAATGAAGGTATTTTGGTCATTTCATGCCTCTTTTCTTCTTCTCCAGTGAATCCATCTCTTTCTCTGGCATTCTTTCTCCCTCTAAACCCCATCTTTAATATCATCAAGGCTCTTTCCCCCATCATCTTAGTTCATTGCATTCACCGGAAACGGGAGAGGAAGGGATGGACTCGCCTGGGAAGAAGAAAAGAGACGTGAAATGATCAAAATACGCTCATCATTTTAACAATTAAAATTTTTCGGCGAAATTTGGCCGACAATTTGGTCAGAGTGACCAAAATTGACAAAAATTACATAGTTAAAGTACTAAATTGACACTTTTAAAAGTCAAGGACTGAAATTAACAAGACTCCTATAGTCATATGACCAAAATTAAAATTTCTCCTATAGATTGATGTAGAAAGTTACAATTGGAATTAACTTAAAGGTTACAACTTAATAAAAATTGTACATTTGTCCCTAAGTTATAGAATAATTAGAGTAAATACCCAATATCGTCATCGACTATAGTGATTTTACTCGATTTAATTCTAAATGACTTTTTGTACTTAATTTAGTTTCCGACTTTGATGGTTTTATTCAATTTAGTCCTCTGTTAACAATTTCGTTTGTTGACGGTTAAAAAAAAGGTCAACATGTTAATTTCTCCTCCCTCTTTTTTTGGTTAGATTGCCCTCCTCTCCATAAAATTTAAGAAATTACAAAACACTAATACTAAGATACTAGCTGTTAATGTAAGACATAATAAGCAATTAATCACTTGTTTTGGTAAATCAATCTCGAAAATCTTTCTCTGGGAAATGAATGGGGTTTGAACATGAATCTCCATAAACTGGAATACAGATTTGGCCATTACACAAATACTATATATAACCCATTTTAACAACTTCTACACTTAGTATTGGTTTTCGTATTTTTGACCAAGCAAGGAAAGCAAGTCAACAAATTAAAACAGACATTACAATATGCAAATTAAACAAAACTGTAAAAATTAAAAAAAAAAAAAAAAAAAAAAAAAAAAAAAAAAAAAAAACCGGAAGGCATGTCCAATTATATTCTTACATCATCAGTCGTTTTTTGATGGTGTTGTAGTCAGAAACAAAACGAGTTTGTTTGTCGAATTCTGGGCCATTGTTGATCAAAATGTTTAATTTGGTGGTGGAGGAACAAGTTCTTTGAGGAGGCATTTTTCATATGATAATCCACCCAGTTTTTCCAGCATTCTCTGCAACAGGCCAGGAATGATATAATAATGGTGCATTATTTAGGCAAAGCAAATAATGAGGAGCTTAATGATGCCATGAAATAGATTCCACTATGGAAAATGATATTTCATGTATGTCATGTAATTTTGGTGAAGGAATAAGGGAGGTCCACCTAGGTGGGTGGACCTCATGAGGTGCTTTGATGTGGATTTAGCCCGTGAGGGCCTTGTGTAGATAGACTAGTTTTAGCTAGTTGATTTTAGACTTTGTCTTTGACTCTTTGTTGATTTTTAGACCTTTGGGGTCCTTGTGAGCTTTAGACCAAGTTTTGGTCCTTGTGTATAAGGCTTTTTGCCTCCTTGAGCCATAGGTCACTTTTGGGCCTATGGCGTATCTTGTAAGGCCTTGGGCCTCTTTTGGTGGTGAAATAAAGTTTTACAGTTCGTAAAAAAAAAAAAAAATCCCTATTTTTCTTTGAGCTTCTTTGCAATTCATCCAGCTTCTCTTCCACGTCCTCAATCTCTTCCTCTAGAATGACATTGGCGCGCATCATGGTCGATTTTTAAATTTTTGTGGCTGATAAATAAATGAGGCATACCTAAATCAAAATCTTTAAAACTAATACCCTAATAATAATAATAATAATAATAATAATAATAATAATAATAATAATAATAATAATAATAATAAGGTGATAAAATGTTACTGCGCGCAAAGAAAAAGCTAGCCAAAAGACATATTATGGAATAAATTACAATTATAACAATAATAATAATAATAATAATAATAATAATAATAATAATAATAATAATAATAATAATAATAATAATAATAATCTATATCTATATATATATATATATATATATATATATATATATATATATATATATATATATATATATATATATATATATATATATATATATATATATATATATATATATATAAAAGTAAAATCCTCATAGCCAAGTTTTCCCCCCAAAACTTAGGGGCATTTCTGTAATATCATTTATTTAATAATAATAATAATAATAATAATAATAATAATAATAATAATAATAATAATAATAATAATAATAATAATAATAATAATAATAATGTTATTACCTTAATTACATATTATTACACTTTCCTTTTGAATTGGTATTTTCCACCTATAACAGGGCGTTTGGTTGGAGGGAGGGAATTATGTGGGAAAGGAATTGTAATTCCATGGGAGTTGAATTACTGGGAATAAAATGGGAATTTAAATTCCAGTGTTTGGTTGACAGGAATAAAATTACTGGGAATTTCAATTCCAATGTTTGGTATACATGGGAATTGAAAGGGAATAAGTAGTATAAAGTCAAAAATGTCCATTATTGTTGTTAGACATTAATTTTAGGTTAAAAAAGGAAGGGGTAATTTTGACTCATCACTATCTTTTTTTCCCAGGAATTAAAATACCAGGGGGGGACATGGGATTTTAATTCCATGAAAATGGGGGAATTGCAATTCCCTCCAACCAAACTATGGAATTTAATGGTCTTTGGAATTAGGTGGGAATTAAGTGGGAAGGGAATTTAAAATCCCTCCAACCAAACGCCCTGTAAATACAAATTATACTTTCATTTTCACTCTATATTGTTCTCTGGTTCATGATTTCATTTGATTTCTAAGTTTTATATGGTTGTTTCTGAATGCAGCCTGCAAAGCTAGGGGCTCAGATCTCATAGTTCATTCTAAGGTAATACCATGATTCCGATAGGTGTAAACTATGTTCACGTTTTCATCTTTATTTCGATTTGTTAGGGGTTTGCATATCAAGATATGTTGTTACAGTGTGTCCAAATGTATGTTATTTACTGGTGTAAATGTATGTATATTTGGGGTATATGTTGTTTGAATTTGACATTTTTTCTTTAAATACTCTGAGATCAAAGTATTGCATTCTACATGTTGGATTGGTTGTTTGTTAGAATATGGTTCAAATTATGTGGCTCTAATTAATGCATGAAGACTTCTTCTTCAACCTTCCGCATCGCATGCATGCTGTCCATCCGCCTTCTGCTCTCCTTCTTACCATTGCCGCATAACTCTCCTTTGTGTTGTATAAATAGTGACGTAGCTTTGTAATTAATGCATTATCAAAATAGAATTCTTTCTTCCTTTCTCACGCATGCTTTAATATATATATTCCTCTAATTCTCTTTTGAGAGTTTATATATATATATATATATATATATATATATATATATATATATATATATATATATATATATATATATATATTTAATATCTTTCATTGTTAATTATTATTTTGTCATTTTATACAATTTTCTTCGTTTATACATTTTCACCTATTATTCAACTTCTATAATTCTCAATTTTCGATTCTTCGATTCCGCATTATTCCGATATATTCCTAACAAGTGGTATCAGAGCGGTTTAATTGAGAATTATTTTCAAAGATGTCAACTGTTACTAAGTTCGATATCGAGAAGTTCGACGAAAAAATTAGCTTTTCTATCTGGAAGGTT